ACCACTCTACTCCAGCCACCACTACAGAAGAAACTGTGGCCCCACCTCCACTCATGCCAGCAAACGCCTAGTGGGAAATCTAGATTTTCACTCTAGTGAGGTGGTAATGAAGCACCCAGTGCCAGGGTGGTATCAGAAAAGGCCAAGTACAGGGTCAGGACTTTCATCTCCACCAGCCAGGAATGTGCCCCCTCCCATGGGGTCAGTGGAGACATGGGGAGCTGGAACTCTCCTCCTCTCAGCAGTAATGAGGAGCACCCCCAGGTGTCAATGAAGGCCAAGTGGGGAATCTGGTCTTCTGCCTTCACCTGGTAGAGACAAGGTTGAGTCCCCCACCCACCACCTTTCCCTGACTGAGCAGTGTCAGAGAAAGCCACATAAAACAGAAGGTTTCAATAAGATCCAGAGTCTCACAACACGATGCAAAAATGTCTAGGATTCAACCAGAATCATTTATCATACCAAAACCCAGGAAGATCTCAAGCTGAATGAGAAAGACAATCAATAGATGCCAACACTGAGATGACAGAGATGTTAGAATTATCTGACAATGATTTTAAGGCAGCCACGACACAAATGTTTCAATAAGTAATTATGAGCCCATTTGTAAAAAAGAAAAAACAGTAAAACTCAACAAAGAAATATAGTCTCAGCAAAGAAATACTGCAACAAATGGAACAAGATATGCAAAATTCCTGTGAAAAATATTTGTCTAAAAATGATGCCAGCTGGCAATTTCATGTTTCTACTGAAGAATGGAGAGGGACCTGCCCTTAAACCAGCCTCAAATACAGCAATGACGCCATGACTAAACCTCAACCTTGCCCATTTGTTTTTTCTTTCTGGAAGATTATGGATCCTCATCGCCAACCAGCGATGAGGGTGTCTGTCCTTCTTTGTGCTCTGACTTTGGAGCCCCTTTTCTATCTAAAGGTTCATATCCTCCAGCTTGGGGAAATTTCCAACTGTTTTTCTTTTGATTATTCCCTTCCCTACTTTTGTATTTCCCCCTCTTCTTTCTTTCTGGGACTCCAGAAAGAAGTAGGACATTAGACCTGGATTGGTCCTCTATGTCTCTTGTCTTTTGTTGGAGAGTTTTTGTATCTGTACTTTATAGAACACTGTCCCAACTAGAGAGGGCATCTGTTGAATGCTTTCAACTGGATAACACAACTAATTCTCAGAACTCTTGTGTGTTCTCAGATTGTTTCTTCTACACAGTATCCTAGGATGTAACACCTTTGTGAAGTTCTCTAGATTTATTAAATCAATTTTAAGATCTATTTTTGTGTCCTGAATTATCTCTTTCCTGAAGAGGCACTGTTTTGTTCATCTTGGTCTTTTTGTTCATGCTACTTGTTTTCTTCAAATGCCTGGCGATCCTGGGTTATCAGATCTCACTGAAGAAAGTAGCCCTGCTGGCTTGGGTGGGTTTCCTCTGCTGGTATGTCAGTAGGAGCACTCGCCACAGGCCTCCTTCCAAGTGGAAAGACAGTATGGGTGGAGCATGCAGCCTCCTAGGCTTTTCCTTGGGGTAAGTGGGCGGGGAGGGGTTGTCAAATTGGGGGCCCTAATATCGACATTAGAAGCCTTAGCTCTCCTCAGTCATTCTCCTAACATTTTCTTGTATTGTTTTGTTTTTAAAAGAAAAGTCTTAAAAAAAATTTTTCCTGGTCATAAACATCAGGTTGCCTGTATTCTGTACAGAATCAGTGGCCTGGGCACCTGCCCATGAACACGCCCTGCATGGAGCCACCTGTTTCCAGTTTCACTGCTCACCTCAGCCTCTGCCTCACCTGCCGACGCTAAGTCCAGAAGCTCTCCAATACAGTGGTGGGCAGGCTGCCTCCAACCCCCACCGCAGGCTCTCATGGCTGAGCTCGGGCTGCTGCTTTTCGCTCTCCGTTGCATCAGTTCCACATGCTCCCAAAACACTCCATCTTCCAGAAAGTTGTTAAAAATTTTTCTTCCTAAGATGAGCCTCTCTTTTTCCCTGCCCATCCACTAATTAACTGTTGGGGTTTATTCCTTCTTAAGTTTCTATACTTTTATTTCAGTGGGTCTCAGGAAAGATGTGAAGTCATTTCAAACCAGGAGATAAAACTATTAAATAAACCATGTTTGATGGTCAAATCAGTTTGGGAAACCCCAATTAATTTATTCTAAAGATTTTTGCTTCTATGCAGATGACTTAACACAGAAAACAGATGTATACTCATAGTTTTCATAGGATTCTAAATATTCAAGATATAGATTTAAAAAAATCACCCATCTTATTGATCTATCAAGGGTAGACAGTCAAATTGTGATACTTTATGATTATAAGGTCTTTTCCTTTATATTATTATTATTATATACTTAAGTATATATTTCAAGGCTGAAAAATTTCTCTTGACTTAGAAAATCTACAGTGCATAATGAAAAGAGCCTACACTGGGAGTTAAGAAACTAAAATTCCAGTCTTATCTCTTTAACTAATATACTCTAGGAAGTGAGGTAAGTTTATTAACCTCACTAGACCTCAGTTTCTGCATCTCTAAAATAAAAGTGCAGCACGGGCCACCTTAGGAAATGTGGGTGTTGCATCCATGCGTGGTCCAGAATGTACTAGTTGCTCCTTGGACAAGAGGAAGAGCTGTTTCCTCTGGCTCTCTCACGAGCTAATCTGCCTGTTTTATGGGGGGGGAAACTGAGGCCAGAGGGATGATCGTGACCATAATTGGAGGGCAGGAGGCAAGCCGGACTAGATAACGTCTAAGTTCCCTGTGAGCTTAAGATGCTATGGCTTTGGGGTACTAATACTTTCCCAGGTTTACAGGCCAGAACAGGGCCAGCCTATCCAGCTCATGCTGAGATGGGTCAGCTGCAGGATGGTGCCTGCTGAGAAGCACTAGTGGCACCTGCACCCTGGGGTTCAGGCTGGTTCTGAAGGTGAGTGGGATTCTAACTGTAGTTATACAGGTGAGTAGGAGGAACAGCAATAACTGTCTTACTTCTAAAGTGACTTAAACACCAAAAGTTATCAAGAAATGATACTTAAGCCAGAGTTTTCATTTCATTTGGGATTGATAAAGCATTCACACTCATCTTTGCAACTTCCATCTAGCTCCCACTGCCTGCAAATAGAATCAGGTGGAAAAGGGAGAAGAGAAAGCTCCCTTGAACTCCTCAGGGACTTAACGGACAACAAGCTGAATATTAAATACACAACAGGAAGCAAGCCCTCTCAGTCTTTCAACCACATCTTTCAAGCTCTATTTCTGAGAATAGAAAATTCTAAGCTCAATTTGAATGTCACTGTAAACTTCTCTCTGTGCCAGATGATTTTACCCGCATATTTATAACCAAAGTACAAACAACTTAAAATGTTTACACTGAGTAGTAATGGAAGTCATGTGTCAAATACAATGGGAGGAAAAAGAGTAAAGCTTTCTTCAGAACTAAAGCTTGAAGATATACAATAGCTGTGGAAAATCTGGCTTACAAATAAGAATGTACTGTCTACCTATTCCATTTAATTATAGAGAACGTGCATTTTTACCCTTTGCATATGATGTCTAAAGTCTCGTTTTTTGGTTTGGTTTTGCACTGCAACGTTGCCTAAAGCTCTGGAAGTCTCATACCTCCATACACAGAGTCTCAAGGAACAAAGCCACACGCTTTCCTGCCATTTGTGGTCCCCATTTCCCTCAATCTCCCACTTCCAGGGAGAGGCAGTGAAGGACCCATCCACCAAGTCCAAAAGCAGTAAACAGAGCCCTCCTCAGATGTTCTCAGGGCCTCCAGCATGTCAGCTTTCCTATTTGAGCACTGTGAAGGCCAGAAACTACAGGAGGCCAGGAACAGACTCCTGGCATCTTTCTACTAGGATAGACTCCTCTGAATTTATCACTAAGTACAAGCCTATGGTGACAGCTTCTCCTCAACTTCTAATCACCAGTGATTGAGGCACAACCAGCCAGAAAAGCTCTGTAGAGGAAACAGTATACTTGCTTCACAGCCATACAGTCCATAGCTGTTGCCTAAACAGACTCAACCTAAGGGTTAATGCTTCAAGGAGTTATGAAGATGTTAATGGAAGAACACAGTCATGGCTGCCGATTTCTTTGATGTAACATGTCTCAGACAGATAGACCATTATGGTAAATTCGTAACTCGCAGGTGAAGTCGAGCTCTTCGTTTTTTGAGAGCCAAGATCCACCCCCTCCCCTGCCAGCCATGCTCACCTCAGTCATTCTCTCGAGTCAGCCTCTCAAGTGGACTCAGGCGTCCCGGCTGAACACTAGGCTCCCCCCATCTCAGCACCTGCCCTGCACAGTGCTCTCGGATTAATGATGGCTACACTGAATATTCACCTGATGCCTCTACACCTTTTCATTTTAAAACTCAGAGAAGCTGACACTGCTCCATCCTTTCCTTTGCTTGTTCTTTCTGTCTTGTCTTACTTAGGTCGTTCTGCTTGCTCCTCTCAGCTGCAGCAAAGAGCATCCTAATGCACTCTTTTAAAAACATACCTTCTAATTTTCAAAGAGGTTGGCACTTCATCAGAGGCAATTTTTATACATTCCTTCTCAATTTGATTCCATGGATGTACTAGCCAGGCCCACAGAAAATTCCATTTCTCTCACTATCTCCTCAACACGCAAACCTAAAAGCTAGGAATGCTATGAAAAACCACCAAATCTTGGAGCAGAAAAAAAATGAAAACAAAGTAATTTATAGAGTTGAATAAAAAAATGGACAGACCCTCTCTACCTCAGTTTTTACCTTCATCCACTAAATTTTCACTTCCCTGAGCCACATCACCAATTTTAAATAGAAACTAAGTAAAGCTAAAAGAACCAACCAACAACATATTTACAACTTTTAACTTTATTTTAATCTAGAATGTCTGGTTGCTTGATATATTTTGCATCTCACCCATAAGTTCTGAGAAAAACATTAAGATGCATGATTATTTAAGCTATGTTACATTAATTGAGGATCTAAAGACATCTTACCTGTAAATATGTTTCCAAACCTTGCCGTCGTTGTTCCAAGACTTTTGGGACCCAGTTCCTAACATGTTTAGAAGGGATTTCTGGAGTTTTAATACATTTCTTAAGCTATAAAGAGAGAAACAGAAGATGTCTCTTAATTATAAAGATATTATTTGGGAGAAAAAGCCAATAAAAGAAAGTGAACACTGCTATCTCCAATAAAAAGCTAGATGACAACATAATTACACTGAAATTTTGTCAAAAAATTCTTTACTTAGCTGTCCTAAATGTTCAGCTTTCAGGATAAGAGCTTTGTGTTTTTGGTAATTGTTGTTACTGTTGTACATCATCTGGTATTTCAGATTGGAATTATTTTTTTCTGAAAAATTAAAAGTTCAGTAAATGAATTATAAAGGAAGTAAAGAAGTTTATAATTTCAAAAATCCATTAATATAATGAAATTTTGCTTGCATGAAGTACTTTTCTGATGAAAAATCTTTCTACATATTTTTTTCACACAAAAAAGCAAAACAAAATACAAGTGTTTATAAGCATCATCCTTGGAAATGCCATATGAACTAGACCACATCATTTGGAGAGTTTCTTGAAAGTTCTATAATAGAATGAACTAAAAAACAGGGAGACTGATCCTTCCAACATTCCTAAGAATTAGGTCCAAATTCCGTTCATGAAAACTGAATGATGGTTCTCAGCTAAGCCTTTCTGGGCAGCAGTTTTAAGAGACTATATAAAGAAAAATTCTATTGGAAGTTGAGTTAGAGCTGCCTGTGGTAGGTACATCCTACCACATCCACATCCTAAACCTGTGAATATTACCTTACATGGCAAGGAACTTTGCATATCTAATTAAATGAGAAGATTACAATGGAGAGATTATCCTGGATTGTCCAGGTGGCCTAAATGTAATCACAGGGATCCTTATAAGAGGGAGGCAGGAGGGTCAGAGTCAGAGAGGCAGTGGAAGATGCTAGCTGCTGGCTTTGATAAAGAAAGGGTCATGAGCCCAATGTATTCTCCCTACAGCCTGTGGACACTTTGATTTTAGCTCAGTGAAACTCATTTTGGACTTCTGACCTTGAGATGTATAGGATAATAAATTTGTATTGTTTTAAGCCATTAAGTTTGTGCTAATTTGTTACAGCAGCAATAGGAAACTAAAACACTGCCTCTAAAATAGAATTAATTTTAATGTTCTAATTAAAAACTTGGAAAAACCTACTGAGGCTGTTCCTTTACTACACATGCAAAGAAACAGCATAATAAACACTAAGAAAAGGCATATGCTTAAACCCCAGCAGCTAAAACTGTAATAAAAAATTCTTCCCATACATGAGAATACATTCACCACTAACCATTCCAGGCTGAAGTTTATTGCACATCATGAAAAAGAAGGTGTCTTTGTGCATTTCAAAGATGAGCACTTTCAGTTCAAGACACTAGGCTGAGCCTGTATTTGCCTCCTCTCTCCATACCTGAAGTGCCATTAAAATAATAGTGTGAGAGTGCTAGCTGCAAACTCCAAATCTATTCTCCTTGTCATCTTCACCAACAGAACTCCTATATTATTGGGAACGATAATATATTCAGCTAAATTCAGCTAAAAAGCTATATTTCCCAAACCCCCTTGCAGAGAGTGGAAGCCAATGGTAATTAGAAGTCACTGAGAAGAGCTTTCCATAAAAACTCTTTTAAAGTGGAACAGACTCAGCTAGCTTGCACCTTCTGTCCTACCCTCTTTCACCAACTTCCTGCCTAGAATGTGACCATGATGGCTAGAGCTGCAGCAACCATATGCACCATGAGGCAACTCGGAGGATGAAAGACAGGTGTTTCAGATGACTGAGCAGAAAGAAAGAAGGAGTCATGTGCCTGACAGCCACCTGGAGCAGCCACAAGAGCCCCGAATGGCCTACCTCCAGAATTGTTTTTTGAGATGAGAAAAAAATCCGCTTTTTTTTAAGGTTACTAGTATTTGGACTTTCTGTTTTATACCTGAATTTAATCCTGATAGACATAAAAAAAAAAAAGGCAAAAGGTCAAAGGGAATAGGACACAGAAGAATGAAGAGAATAGGCAGGGAGGAAGGAGAAATCACCAAGTGAGAAATTAACAACTTTGTAAAAGACAGCAAGCAGGACCATGTCAACGAGTAAAATAGAGCAGAGGAAGCCCCAGCCCAGAATAGCTCAAGAAGGGGATTGCAAAGAGTTTGAACCCCAATCTCGTCAGCAGATCCGAGAGTCTTGTGCTCAGGACCGGCATAAGAGGAGAAGAGAACAAGAAGATGGATTAGACCACGCCATGGTCTGTGCCAATGGACTCTCTACCTCTACCCCCCATAAGCAGAGTGACTAGCAGCCTGGTTTTACCTCTAACACACATACTCCTACTGCATAAAAAGGGTCAATATTCCCAAAGAAAATGAATGAAGTGTCTGGGTTAAACAAGGGTGTCTGCCATTCTAGTCATTCTGGCTTTCCTGGGGCCTCCAGCCTAATAGCTGGCTCTCTCCCCTCATTCCCTATAATGAAGCCCTCCAGTCAACACACCCTACAGAAGGACCAGACTTATGTACTCAAGGCAGAGGAACCAGTGACAAATACCCAGAATAATTAATCTAGCTTAATGGCAATCGAGGATCGCTTTCATAGGAGAGCCAGCACTAGGAAAGAGAAAGGACAAGAAAAACGAGTAGAACAACTAATCCCAAAGGAAGGAGATAAATCAAATAACAGAAGAGATCTTTAAAAATTCTATTTATTATCTGCAGAGAGATTTGAGAAGATACTACTTCTATAAAACAAGAACAGGTTGTTATGAAAAAGAAACAATCAGAAAAGAAGAAAGAGATTTTGGAAATTAAAAACATGACTCAGAAATAAAAAATTAAAAGAGGGAGCCTATAAAATCATGGAAGTCTTTCAAAGTGTAGAACAAAGTGAGAGAAAAAGTAGGTGAAAAAATAAAACACTAAAAGGATTAATCAAGAAAGCTTAACAAAATTAATAAGCATTCCATAAAGAATAAGAGAAATTCTTAAAGAAATAATAAAACAAAATTTTACAAGACCTAATATATGTCTTCAGATTAAGACCCCATTGAGTACCAGCATAATGAATAAAAAGAGACCCACACCTACCAACATTTATCTGTTGAGATTTCAGAATATTAAGGACAGAGATAAGACAGAGGGGAAAACATTAGGTGGCAAATAAAGGAAGAAGAACTGCAGGGGCAACTGACTTCTCATCAGCAACAGTGGAGGCCAGAAGATCAAGCCCTCAAAGATCTAACTCAAAAATGGATTTCTACAACCAGCCACCATCAGCCAAGGGTGAGAAAACAAATGCATTTTCAGACATTGAAGGACTCAGAAGGTTTACCTCCCATGCCTTCTTTTACACAAAGTTGAGCATGTGATTTCAGAAAACAGAGATTAAAGCAAGGAAGAGGAAAAACAAGATCAGGGCTCATAGCTCCACCCCATCAGCATGGGAAGGGAAATCCAAGGCTGGCTAGGCAGCCTAGAGAACTATCAGTCTAGGCTGGAGCAGAAGGTCAGCAGATTTGGAGAGGGGCTTCTTGGAAGAAGGCTGATTCCATGCAGTAGAGAGTACAGAGAAGATGGATAAATCTTAGGATTTGTTAAAGTACACCATTCTTTTAGAAAAATTATTAGAAAAAATAATTTCCAGGGAAAACAAAGAGCCCCTGATGAAGGTCACGGAAGAGAAGGCACTGAGCTCTTCCCATGTATTATTCTGGTGCTAGAGACACTTCTGCCCTCATGGGGCTCACATACCAGGAAACAGACAATAAACAACAAGCAAGTTAATAAAACAGGGTGGGAGCAGAGAGTAACAGAAGAGGGTGTGTTTTGGGGGCAGTTGAGGAAGGCCTGTGTGAGGTGGGAATGTCTGAGGAGTGACCTGAATCATGCTGGGAGGGAGTGAGGTAAGGAGCTGGAGAAGGAACGTTACAGCAGAGACAGAGCAATGGAAACGGAGGGCCAAGCTTGGTGTTCAAAACAGAGCAAGGAGGGACGAGTTCTGAGAGGTGGCGACTATAGGGCCTTGGAGGCCAAGGCGATAATTTGCATATCATTTTAATGGGAAGCAAACTGAATGGCTTGAGAAAGGAAATGACCTGATATAAGTTTTAGAGATTATGCTGGATTCTATAAGTAACATGGACTATAAGGGAGGTGGGAGTCAGAGCAGGGCCACTAGTAAGAAACTTCTGCAGAAGTCCAGGCAAGGGATGACGGTGATTTGGACTATGGTCCTGGCAGTGGAGGTGAGGAGAAGTAGGCTGTGGGAGGATGTGGCAAGTGGAGGTGATCAGAATGACCTCCATGGGGTGATCAGAACGACTTCACTTTTAGGTTTCTGACCTCACCTGGCAGCTATATATTGGGTGATCCGGCTGCTGTTTATTGCAAGGCAGTAGAATGCCAGGTTTAGGATAAGTGGCAGAGAACATTAGTTATCTCCCTAAATCCACTGTCCCTGTCTTCTACAGAGATTTCCAGCTGAGTACACGACCACCCAGAATAAAGAACACAGTCCCCGATCTCCCGTGGAGCTATGTGTGGCCAAAACGACTGAACTCTGGTCAAAGGCAGGTAAACAGGCATGTGAGTGCAACTTTCAGGAAGTTCTTAAAGGAAAGAACTGTTTCCTCCTTTCCTTCCCTCCTTCCTTAATGTCACCATTATTTTGATTTTAGAGTTACTTTCAGCTAAATCTAATCCCACACGAGGAAGGGATATGGTTGATACTGCTAGTTGCCTACCCAATATTCGGTCCCTACTTCTTCTTGCAAAAAAAACCCCAGTGTCATTCAGAGTGCCAACATGCTGAGTGAAAAATCTTGATTTCTCAAGTTGCCTTGTGATTAGGATGGTCATGTGACAGAGTTGTTAATGAAATGTAGTACAAGACTACTGGGAAGGGCTCCTGCTTTCCTCACAAAAGGAAATAGCTCTTTTTCTTGCCAGAAATGTGGAAGCAATGCCTAGAGGGACAGCAGCTATGTTATAACCAGAGGGGTGAAAGTCACATGCTGAGGCAAAGATGGCGAAGCAGAAAGATAAAAGTAGCTTG